ATTTACTTAGTGTTGTATCTGTAAGGTACTAGTCATCTAAAAGGTATGCTAACAAACATTTACAAAGTCAACAATTTGATATTAGAAGTCAAATGCAATTAAGGGCTTCATCAACTGGTAATTTACAAACATTTTCATATGATCCTACACGTGTACAAAATTCTATAATTGATTATATTAGTAAAAAAAAACAACATTTTACTAATAGTGAATATCTCGATTTTACTGAAACGATTCACGAAAGTTTTGCACTATAATATCAAATTTTTTGAAGAAATGGTACTAGAAATAGGATTTTAAAGAAATTTGAGGATATTAAAAGTGAATTATTTGACATCTTTAAAAAATTGAATGGAAGAGTTTATTTAGCATCTGATTTGTGGTCAAATAATGATTTCGAATATCAATGTGCCACTGCATATTTTATTGATAATGATTGGAAATTAAATAAAAGAATTATTTCATTTAAATTAGTTGAACTTCTATACACACCATTCACTTGGTGTAGAAATGTATTATATGAGTGGATTTTACAAAATAAAATATTTACGATTAGTTTAGATAATGCAGCATATTATAATCAAATTGTAACCCATTTAAAATCAACTTTACAATTACTTGTTGATGGTGATTTATTTCATTTTCGTTGTTGTGTCCATATTTTTAAACTTGATTATTTAAGAAGTTATGCATGTATACGAGACTTCTGCACTTGTAATAAAAAATGAAGTTGTTACTATTATGTCTTCTACTAATCGAATTTCAGAATATAGAAAAATTTGTCAATGAGAAAATATGTCATTTAAAAAATTAATTTTAGATATAGATAGTAGGTGGAATTCAACGTATAATATGTTAAAAAGAGTTTATATACAAAGAAGAGCAATGGATTTATTTTTTACAACAACATCAATAGGAGAAGTATTGACTTCCACATAACTTAATGGGCGCCAACTAGCCTTGAATAAAGATTTTTAAATTTTTTTTGATATTTCAACAAAATTATTTTCTTATATATATATTCATACTTTACCATTTGTTTTACATATGCTAGCAGAAATAATTAATGTTTTCGTAAGATATATGGGTAATAAATATTATGTAACCATTACTTCAATGAAAGCAAAATTTGATAAATATTTTGATCTTGTGCTCATCTTTTTAGGTTTAGTCATAATAATTGATCCTAAGTGTAAAGAAATTGATTTACAAGAATTTTTGGAACGTATTTTCGTTGATCAAACATAGTTTGCCCCTATTATGCAAACATGCAACAGATTATTTGAAGAATACAGGGCAACTGCATTTGTAAATACACCTACACACACTACACTAGCAATCTCATCTTGAGGCGGGAGATTGAGTGTTTTTTTCAGCAATAAAAAGTAGAAGAATATCTCAACATACAAGCGTACATAGTTCTGAACTACAACGTTATTTGGAAAGTCCGTCAGTGGATGATTCTGATGATTTTGACATTTTGGAATGGTAGAAACAAAATGAAATTATGTGGCCTATAGTTTCACAGATGGCCCGTGATATACTAATCGTTCATATTTCTACAGTTGCTTCGAAAACAACTTTTAGTGCAGGTGGACAAGTGTTGAGCGATTACCGCAGCAGGCTTTCACCCAAGTGATTGAGGCACTGATGATATCCAGAGATCATATACATGCGCTTACGAAAAGACAAAATTATAGTGAAAATGAGCGAATTCAAAATGATTTTGATGACATATCCTCGGGCAACGCGACTGAAATGTCTGTCTCCTCCGAAAATTGATCAACAATTTGTTTTGTACTATTTCTTTTCATTTCATTTCGTTTTTTTTTTTTTTTGTATTAGATTATTGAGGTGGATTTTTTTTTTTTTTTTTTTTTTTCTGTATTACATTATTGAGGTGGAGTATAATGCAAATGATTGATAAGCAAGTAGGTGTCAACCTAGTTAGGATGTACTTGACCTATTGTGATGCAATTGTTCTATCATCATCAATAATCTACACCTATGTTATTTAATGATATAGGTTTTTGTAATATTTTATTTCATTTTGAAATAAAAATTATTTATTCAATAAATGTTATATAATTAATTTACTATTATAATATTGAAAGCTTCATTTTCATATATATATATATAATTATTCATTTCAAAAGAAAAAAAAAATTACATAATTACATATTTTTTTAAATATAAGTTCATAAATAAAAAAATATGTCATACATAATTAAATTTAAATACCACCGTGAGACTTAACCAAACAAAACATCTCATTAATCTTAACTAAAATGCTCTAGTATAATTTTTCTTTTATTTTTTATCCCTAATAAATAATCTACATAGATAATATATTTATCGTTCATTTTCTCTAGTATAATTTTTCTTTTATTTTTTATCCCTAATAAATAATCTACATAGATAATATATTTATCGTTCATTTTTTCAACACAAAAAAAGAGAGGCCTGACTAGGCCTAGCCCATCGGCCCGACCCTAGGCCCTATTATGAGTGGGCTTGGGCCTGGGCTCCACTTTTTGGCTCATGGACTGGCTCAGCCCAGCCCGCTAAAAAAAAGAGAGCCCGCAAGGCCCGCTTGGGCTGGCCTGAGCCATTATTACATCCCCAAAAGTGATGTAGCGAAATGGAAATGATTAAAGGGTAAAAATGGCATACTGATTAATATACCTATAAATCATTTTCATGGCGGAGATTTTATTTACACACCACTAATCCTTTCAGTACACACAAATAATAGATTAAATTTATATTCTAATAATATCCTCAAATGAAAAGGCCATTAAGGATAACATAGGTGTCTTCTACACTTTCAAAAATTTCATATTTAAAAATACAAAATACTCTTTACACATCATCGCCACCTATAGGGTTTAGGGTTTAAATATATAAGCACTGTGTTTCTTCATCATCTTTACCATTAGCACACTACACTCATGATACCATTCATTATCAATTAATTTACTTCATTCTCTTCTCTATTATATTTATTTTCCAAACTCAAAACATTATTGCATTTGAAGATTTAAGAATATTGTAATCAATTAGTTTTAAAATTTTGCACACCATGGATGATACTGCAATGATTGGTTCTGATATAAATATTGAAAATGTTAGTTTATGACTTAACTTTTTGATTTTTTTTTTTTTTGTTTATCTCATTCGTATGCTGGGAAGATGAATTTGTTCATCATGTGTTCGGATAACCAAAGTTGAACTTTTACATAATATTTGATTATTTATATTTGAACAAAACAATTTTGTTCAAATTATTAAGATTAACCAAGTATTAAATGTTCATACATAAAAAATTAAACATTTTAAATTAGTTCGGTTAAAATAAATTAAACTTTTATTCTTTGTTTAGATATAAATTTTTGAACACATTAAGTTTGTTCAACTCTCTATTCATGAACACGACTATTTTTTTTTTTGTTTGTTAATTTTTTTTACAGAATTCTATACCTATCAAATGTAGCAAAGTTGAAACTGATTGTGTTGTTGACTACACAAGTGAATTAAGGGTGAGAATGACAATCTAAAAACAACGACAAGAGTTCAACACCAGATCAACACTGACGAAAATGAAGGTCGAATAAAACCCTCCGTCGACGATCTAAAATGATGACACGAGACACGACGAGGGTTTAACACCGATGATGGAGATGCACACCAACGAAGATGGAGGCCGAATGAAACCCTCCGCCGGTGATGGAGTTCAACAATGACGATGAAAATCACCACCGGCGAAGATATTTTTTTTTTTTTGAAGATGGAGAATTTTGGTGTAGTAGTGAAGATGAAAAGTTTTTGGTGTGTATTGAAACAGACAAGTGGTATGTTACATAGAGTAGTAATGAAAAGTTAAGATATAAACTAAAATATCTTTAAATTCAAAAAATTATTTTATATGTATACTAAATAATGATATGTATTGAAAGAATTAATGGCGTGTAAATAAAATTACCCTTTCATGTTATTATTATCACTACTTCTAATATTATCTCTTTCTTTTTCTTATTTTTGGGTTACATCATAAATGGAAAAAAAAACAAGGGGCTAAGCCCGTTCCCTAAACAATCCTATCATGTCTGCAATAATAAGACTTCTAATTTCTGCCGGTGGAGTGTTCACCACCAAACATATCTTCGGGTTGTTGAGCTCCAAACTTCGCCAAGGCATCGGCACAAAGGTTTCCTTCCTTCCAAACGTGTTGGACAACACAATAATAAGACTTCTAATATTATCTCTTTATATCTGTGGTAAGCTACACTTTACCTCCCTTCATAATTAGTATAAATACAATGCACCCCTTAATTACATAAGATTACACAATTTTCTTTTGAGTTTTACAATCACATTATGTGTTCCGCAAGGTTAAAGAACCGTGAATGAAAAGCATTTTTGACCTTTTTCATGATTTTGTATCAAAAAATACTCACCAAAAAAAAAAAAAAAAAAAAAAAACAAAACTAAACTAAACTAAAATTAAAACTAAAACACACAATATTTCCATACTTTCAAACTACTATTTGCTTTCGAAATCTTTTCTTCAAATCATTGCTTTCAAAAACTTACTTCCAAAAGGGAACCACTCTATTATTAGCCGAAGTATTCCCCAACGACCTCTAGCATACAGGTACCGTGAAAGAAATGTGAAAAGTGCATATTGTTGCATTTCATTTTGCAAGTCTCCCCTTTCAAATTAAAAAATATATATAAATTTGAAAGTTTAAATAAAATTGGCATCATACCTCATTGCATAGCATTCCATCATGAGACTTTCCAATCCCACAAACATTGTCTACTTTCCTTTCTAAATTTACATCACAGTAGCTTCTGGTGAATAGAAATTCTAAAATTCCTATATCAAATGTCTTGGTCCATAATAATATTCTCTTCAAAATTAATATTGCGTAAATCAACAAACAGGTTTTTTTTTATCAAACAGCCAACAACAAAAAAATCTGAATAAAAAAGTTGGATACCAAATAATAGCTATTTTCAAGCTGAGTTGCAAAGCAATGAAATTAATCTTGAATGGGACCGACAAGTGCATATCTTACAATCATACCAAAAGAGGCCCATATCGATCTACAGACTTATTTAAAAACACCTCCCTCTCCAAAAAAACAGAAAAACAAAAACAAAAAAGAGGGTGAGGGGGTAAAGATTGACATCATTTTAGCAAGTAAAAGTAAGCAACTAATTTGTTCAAAGTAGAACACAAAAATCATCCTGGCTTAATTGCAACATTCAAGAACTCAACTTCAAACTGCGTAAAGATCGAACCACATAACTAGCAAAACAGGCAATTGTCCAATGGAAGAGCATGTCGAAAAAGAGAAGATGAACAGCACCAGCAGGCCAAGAGAGAGAAGATCAAGACAGGTGAGAGCGAGAGAGGCCGTCTTTGCTTACTAATTAGAGAATAGTTTCTTCAGTCCCAGCAACCAAACCCATCTGGAATACTTGATCCGGTCCAAAGAATAAGCAGAGCATCTTGTGCAACAAAAAGTGACTCGGACAGCCTTCTCCAGATTCCACACTGGTCATTGCTTTGCTTCGAACGCGCCAATCCAAATATAATTCTCTAGAAGTATAGGAAATGTAGCTTTTTAGTACAAATAAAGATAGAATCAGTTCGTCACTTTTTATATACACGCAGCAGTGCTGATCTCCTTTTTATCACCTTTCTTTTCTTCCAATGTTTTCTTTTCCTTTTCCTTTTACCTCTTTTTTTTTTTTTTTTTTTTGGTGGGGGGTGGGGGGCTTGTAGGGGATTGAGTTGAGAAAGTTAGGTTCAAATTATGAAAACCTGAACCACAAGAACAAAAGGGCTTACTAACAACACAAACTAAACCTATATATATTATAACCTACCAATCTATTTAAGCACTACTAGACTAGAAAGGTAAAATGACCCAATATGTGGTCCATCTAAACGCATAAAATTAAACCCATTTGAAAAAGTCACTCAGAGAAATGTTTTATAGCTAGGCAGAGGTACCTCAAACAAGAAACTGCACCATAACTTGTGAGCATCTTCAGATAATACGCACATTCTCCGCAAATTGATAAACCGAGTTTTACTTCCTGAGGTCAAAGAGTCCTTGTCATTTCGTCGGTGACAGTTTGCTTTTAGTTTCTCCTGAATCAGATAACAGAACTTGCCAAAGATAGCTCATGAAGCTCACTTAGCATCCACTCCTCTCCTGTTTGACCACCAAGAACTATGGCCCTTGTCCCACCAACAACGCACGTACTATGTCCCCAAGCAAATCTCGGTGGTCGCCCAGGTACATTTAATAACCTCCAAGTAGGCTTCTCATCGGTAGGGTCCAGGATATAAAGCTGCGAGGCTGAGTGAAGACCGGCCACGGACCCACCAAATACCAGGATTCTGCCACCTGGCAGGCTCACGGCTACATGATCGAGCCTGGGAGGAGGAGCCATGCCACCTGGATTTCCAGCTCCAGGCATTCCACTCCCAGTTACACATCTCCAACACGGTTCTACCTCACTCAGATCCATTGTGAAGACATCGCTTGAGCGGAAACGGAGGGGCCCGCTCTTGGCCAGACCCCCAAACATCAAAATTTTCCTACCACCGTAAACAGATAACGTGTGACCCAACCGAGAAGGTGGGGTCCACGCCACTGGTATCTCCCTCCAGACGGGCTTCTCGATTGAGAGATCAAGAAGAAAAGTATCACTAAGCAGTACTCCAGAATCTGCACAGCCACCAGAAACAATCAACTTTGTCCCATCAAGGGTGCATGAGCTATGCCATGATCGTGGTAGTGGAGGGGCGAGACTGAATATTTCACGCCAAGTTGGTTGCTTGGCATCCAAATCCAACACAAAGACATCATTTAGTAAACCTTGCCTTCCACATCCGCCAAACACAACCAAATGAGATCCATTCACACAAGAAAGCGTGTGACCCCAACGACCAGGAGGCGGGGAGCTCACTTTGACATGTTGCCACTCGGGATTGCTAGAGTTCAAATCCAAGACAAAGGTATCGTTCATTGGTTGCATGTTGACGCCCTCTCCACCAAAAAGAACCACCCGATTCCCGACAGCACATGCACTGAAGTTGCAACGAGATGGTTCAACAGCACCTCCAACGGTTAGCTTCCTCCACGCTGATGCTTCAAGAGTTGTAAGTTCCCTTGCAAGATGACCCCACCCAAGTCTCTTTGCTCCGGGCACTGTCTCTAAAACTCGAGTTGTTTCACTACCCCAAGCATTTTGACAGACCATTCTCCATAGATCCTCATTCTTTGTTAGCTCATAGAGTTGCCTACAAGCGGAACCGACAGATGCAATATCTCTTGGAGTCAAACGTGAAAGAATCTTGAGAGACAGGACCTCATCACTCAATTGAAGAATTCCACAAGCCCCTCGAGTGATATTTCGGTTCACATCTGCATTTGGCCAATAAGCGGAAAGGCTGGAACGGAACTGATCAGATGTTCTAGCAGACTCCTTTGTTGAAGATCCAGGAAGTGGGCCCAGATCAAGATTTGCGTCAGTGAAGAACTGGATACCAATAAAGTGTGTAATTATTTCATCATCTCCATATATAGGTGTCAGGCGCAATCTATTCATCAATGGAGATCCATCTTTCCTAAAATTTAACAAATTGCCTTGGAATTCAACTCCATCTTCAAGGCATCTTCTTATTTCTGAAACTACAGCAGAATCCACCAGCTGATGCCTTCTTTTTGCATATGGGCCTCTGCATTGCAAGAAACGACTGCCACAAAGTCTTACGGAATCAGAACTAGCACATTAGACCAGGAAAACACTATTCAATGACGAAATGAGGTGTTACAGACACCATCAAAATTAACACAGTAAGATAAGAGTACAAGCAGTCCATTCAACTGACGCTTTAAAAGTGAAAGGATAACACTCAAACTACCACCTCATTTGAATGACTTAAAACATTATCAATAGGCATAGAGAAAACCATACTTAAGAATGCTCATCTATGCCAAATGTTTCTATCACTAAGATGAGAAATGAATGAAAGTTCTGTTTTTTATTCAATATCATCAACATCTATCATTAAAAAAACTACATGATAATCAAGAAGCTAAATCCACAAGCACATTCAACCATAAAAAGGCCAATGTATGCCATTAAAATAAGAACCCAAACCAGGCCACGCTCGGGCCACAATTTCCCCTTTCAAGGAGCCCCCACCTTCCAACAGCAGGGCTTAAGTGCGAATCATAGCAAAGTGATTTCACACAACTCCACAATCACATAAGCAATTTGCACATTGGCATTAGTCATGATACTTGAGTAAACATATGTTTAAAACATAGAGTATTATTAATACAAAATACATGGATATTGAATTTTACACGAGCAAGATAATCACTAAGATGAGTAGAATGAGATAGGAAAACATATAGGAATAGCACCAATTAAAGTTAAGTTGAGAGAGAACAAGCTACGATGGTTGGTCATGTACAATGAAGACATACAAATGCAATGGCAAGGAAGATTGATATGTGATCACCACAAATGAAAATGTTAGGAAAAAGGAAGATCCTAAACTGACATGGGATGCAGTAGTAAAAACAATTTTTGAATTTTACTAGCACATAACCCCTGACAAAGCAAAATGACAAAAAAGAATTCATGTAGCAAACCCCACTTGATTGGGACAAAAGACTTAGTTTAGTTTGGTTTGGTAAAACAACACTAAAACAGAGAACAGAAAATTAACACCTATTTATTGTGTTATCGTTTTTTTTTAAGTAAAATGCCTACTAGTAATCATAAATTTTGAGCATGGAACAAATTCAACCAGATGTTCTCTTTTTTCTTTTTTTTAACTTTTTTATTTTGGGAAACAAGTTGTATGGATTTATCAAACTTGATACCAATAGCAATGATCAACAATGAACATCAATAAATTCATAAGTATTTATATATATGTAGATAATGTGCATATGGGGAATGATACCTACTGTATGGAATGCATATGAAAATGCTGCCTACTGTATGGAAATGCATATGAGAAATGCTACTTACAATATAGATGAAATAGGTTAGCATCACCAAGTTTTTTCAGGACAAGCATCCCTCCCTACCGTGTAGAAGTGGAAACAGTACAGTAATTAAAAAACAGAAACAAAATAGTGACAAACATAGAGAGCCTTTTCTTATTGGCCGGCTCACTCTTCAGGCAAATCCACCTTTATCAAAACTTTCATCAATCCACATTTGGCCTTTTGTATTTGGCATGACCCAAACGAATATAGTCGTCAATGGTGGTTAAAACCGGTCATCAGGTTTTTTTAATATGCGGTTTGGTTCTAGTTCACGTATTAGGTGAACAGATCCTTGAGGTTCGGTTCACAGGTTTAGGACCATAGTTCCCAATTAAAACCAAACCGGACCGTTGGCATGAGAGCATGTTCATTTGATGGCAGTTGTATGTTTGCTAATTGTAGAACAATATGTTTGGTTGAGTTAATTGTTGAAAAGTATTAACAAAGGTTTGCTTGATGGGCATGTTTAATTTTTGAAAAATTGTGGCTGATTAAATTTTTGTGAAGAATGTCATATGACTTCCTTCAAGCAGATTGTGTGACAGCATAATTGTTGAAACCATTTTTTTTTAAATTGAACCGAACCACGTTTAAATGGTTGGTTCTGGTTTGGTTCCATGGTTTTCATGGTTTGGTTTGGCTCCAAATTTTATGTAACAATAAATAGTGCTTTAGTCCTAGTTTCCTTATAAACCGAACCATGCTCAGTCCTACATAAGCTATAGTTATAACTATGTCGTTTGCCAAATGTATTGTAATTCTATTTAGTCCTAAGATTAGGGGTAATTTGGTAGCTTCAAATTAAATAGTCATGGGTTGGAGTAGTGGCCAAGCACGCTATTTTGCATCAAGTTATATCTTTAAATCATTAAGTACGTTTATTCCTAGGTTTCAAATATTTTATGGAGTCAAAGTTCATAGGGCCCAAGTTGGGCAATTGTCAGCATAACTCAATGGCCCTTGGCTCTATTATGTATATGTCAAGAATTTCGGTAGGGAGAGTACTTATGTTTTTCAACATAATGACCAAAAAAAAAAAATTTTGTTAAAAACCTACCAAACTTTCTTTAAAGGATAACAAGTTCAAGAGTAAATCCTCACCTCAAGTACCTAGTAAACACACGCCACTTGTTAACCCATAGGAAGGCTGACATGATTTTAGCCTTAGTGTATAGGACTGTAAATGAACTGAGTTATTCATGAACAGATCGGCTTGGCTTGTTAAGAGCTAGACTCGGTTCGGTTCGGTTCGTTTAGTAAATGAGCCAAGTTCGACCTCGAATAAGCTTGACTCGTTTATCTTTATTTAAATTATATAATATATTATTTATATATTAAATAATATATAATTTATGTAAATATATGTAAATTTTTATTTAAATAATATAAATAATATATATTTTAAAAATTATCGAGTCAAGCCGAGCCGAGCCGAACTCAAGTTTCATTAATGTTAACGAGCCGAGCTGAACTCAAGCCCAGTTTCTTATCGAGCCGAACTTGAGCTCAATAAATGAGCTCGATAAGTAAACGAGCTGAGCTCGAACTTAGCAAAGCTCGACTCAGCTCGGTTCGCTTGCAGCCCTATTAGTGTATAGAGGAGAAATTCAAATTCTTCTTGAGTACATAGCGACCAATCACCAAAGGGGTTGTTGCATGAGTTTTATGATGCGACCCTATATGAGTTACCTCTATGACAGACATTCGGCATGCCACGTAATCCCAGGATCACAGTTACCTAATTTGCCCCAATATAGCTTGAACACCAAGGAGCATGGGAAAAGGATGCATTCAACCCAACCTCAGTCATACTGCAGTTCCAGCCTTTCCTAACCCCAAGAAAAAAGGGTCCTAGAGGATGTGTGTACAGTAGGGTCACCAATAAGATCACAGTAAGTACAGGTTTTCCCATGCCCAAACTCAATGCTCTTTACAACTAGATAGATAGTTCCAAGCGATACCTACATAGTGGATACCATTAATTTGGGATTAGAAGTAGTGATGAATGAAAGACTACTCTTAAAACCCAGGATGAATTGTATGAGTGGACAGTCATGCCCTTTGGCATGTCTAGTGGTACTAGTACACTTATGAAAGTTATGATTGAGCTTTTGCATCCTTTCATACTAAACTTTTCATCTATTTTGATAACATCCTGATTTATAGTGATTATCAAGGGGAGCATTATTTCATCTTCAAGAGATTTTTGTCACTCTTAGGTCTACCCAATTGTATATAAATCGCAAGAAGTCTCTTTCATGTGGATTCATATGCTTTTTTTAGAACTCAGTATCCTTGCACAAGGTGTTTCGACAGACCCTAAAAAGGTCAAAGCTATTAGAGACTGGGTTGAACCTACATTTTTATCTAAGGACCGTTGTTTTCATATGTTAGCCACTTTCCATAGGCAATTCATAAGGGAGTTCATCATTTCTAGCATGAAGAAAGGGAAGTTCAAATGGACTAGCATAGCACTAGTGTTTCACAAACATATATATTATTTATGTGTGTTGGATTTTCTACATAATCATCTCTTCCATATGGCTCTTCAGTTTCTTGGACTCTAGGCATATATTATGCAGACTAACACAAGTATGCATAAAACATTAGGATGTTAAACATACAATATGCAAAAAAAATTATTTGTAGTGGTGGCGGTGGCGTTGGATGGGGAGGTGGCGTTGGTTGTAGGTTTAAAGAAATGACTCAGTAAGGTAGGCTAAGAAAACTCATGTTAGTGTTATGAATAGTACTGTAATTGGTTTTTGTGGTGCCCTTTGGTCATGTAGAAACTGTTCGTATTGCGCTAGGCTTTTCAATGTAAAGTGCTAAGAATTGGCTTTATATAGAAGGTGCTGGGTACCTGGAGAATTAGTCACTAGAACTCTAGATAGAAATCATTTTAATTTTGCGTGGTAAATCAAAGACCAAAAGGTAGGCAAAAGGGTTAGAGTTCATTATACTTCTATATTGTAGGCACAAAATTGGGACTGCTTAAAGTGGCAAAGACTTAAACCCAATTCCCATCAACAAGTTAGAACTACAATTCAAAGCTCAAATAACAAAAACCCACATGGAAAATGAAATCTCAGCTACAATAAACAATAAAAGCAAACCCAAATCGTACAAAACTGTGAATTAAGTCTTCAATTCATAGCTAAAATTATGGAACAAGTATCATTTCAGTTTTGGGTGGTAAATCAAAGGCCAAAACGTAGGCAAAAGGGTTAGAGTTCATTATACTTCTATAGAGTAGGGTTGCAGGCACAAAATTGGGACTGCTTAAACTGCCAAAGACTTAAACCCAATCCCCGTCAGCAAGCTAGAACTACAATTCAAAGCTCAAATAACAAAAACCCACATGAAAAATGAAATCTCAGCTACAATAAACAATAAAAGCAAACCCAAATCCTACAAAACTGTGAATTAAGTCTTCGATTCATAGCTAAAATTATGGAACAAGTATCATTTTAGTTTTGTGTGGTAAATCAAAGGGTAGGCAAAAGGGTTAGAGTTCATTACACTTCTATAAAGTAGGGTTGCAGGCACAAAATTGGGGCTGCTTAAAGTGGCAAAGACTTAAACCCAATCCCCGTCAACAAGCTAGAACTACAATTCAAAGCTCAAATAACAAAAATCCACATGGAAAATGAATTCTCAGCTACAAGAAACAATAAAACCAACCCTCCAATCCAACAAAACTGCAAAATTAAATCTTCGATTCATAGCTCAAATCATGCAAAAAGTAGACTTAAACCCGATGCCCATCAAGAAGCTAAAACTACAATTCAAAGCACAAATAACAAAAACCCACGTGGAAAATGAAATATCAGCTACAATAAACAATAAAAGCAATCCCAAATCCAACAAAACTGTGAATTAAATATTCGATTCATAGCTAAAATTATGATTACCAATTCCGCCCAAGAACCTCTTCAGCTCGATAACCAGTGACCATCTCAAAGACTGAATTGACATATATAATCGGATGATCAGGCTCTAAAGCGTCTGTAACGACGAACCCACACGGCGCTGGTTGCAGCAAACTGTCCACAGCAAACGGCAAGGGACCTCCATCGTTCAATAGAAACCCTTCTTCGTCGCCGCTCAGATCAGAATTGCTGTCCCACTCCATGAACTAATCTCAGATGTGTTTCTCTTCAACCCATCGTTTCAAATTCAAAGCGAAATCAAAAGCAACACAGATAGAGAACAGAGAGTGAAGGCTTTGTGTGCAGTTGTTGCTAAAAACAGAAACAAAACCCTAGTTTTCCATACAAATCAACACGTAGCTCAAATAAGAGAGAGAGAGAGAGAGAGAAAGAGAGAGAGAGAGAGATTGGGGGTTTTCCTTGGTTGGTTGTGAATTTGGGTTTGGTGGAAAATGGAGTGGTGAGACAGATAACGAGTGGCTTAGCGAAGCTTGGCAAATTTTGCTAAGTTTGGCTTATCAAAGTACGCACTTTTTATTTTTATTTTATTTTATTTTTTTTATCACATCACCACTCTATTTTTTTTATATATTTTTTTTATAAAAAAACAAAAAATACATTTATTAATCCTTCTAAATAACTCATTGCCCATCTAAAATTGGGAAGAAAAAAAAAAGAGCAAAAATGAAAAATTAGTTAATTACACTTAGATCTCTTAATTATTTGTGAATATCACTTTGTTCTATTTATTTATAAATTTATACATATTGACCTTTTTAATTATGAAAATCACACATATATTATTTTGAAGGTGGTGTGGACAGAGTCTGAATTTATTAAAGTTGAAGATCTCAATTTCACAATAAAATTGATCCATTATCTGATTAACTTAAACTCATTTTAGTGATTTAAATCGTTATTTTATATAATTAATTAAAAAATTTATTCATATAAAAAATCAAATTGACGCAATATCGGTTATCATACCATTAAAGTAAATTCGTTACTAATTCAAGGGTTTCAGTCTAATTAAACCTTCGTTCTTGTACTAAGCCTTGTTTGTCGCAATTTCTAAGGAAGACTTTAAAGGGAAGATATATGATAGACAAATGTTTTTTTTTTTAAGTGCTCATCATGCACATTTGCTGGCAATATTTCAAAATTCTTTGAAAGTTTATGAATTTTATTGAAAAATTACACGAAGTTATCTATGAATGTAAAGAAAGACCCCAATTGTCAAAAAATTTAAGAGGTCGAGTGACAATAACACGACAAAGAAAGTGCATTATGTATTTTACTTTAATTTTAATCTTGTTTTATGCCAAAATTTGAACCGTTGCGATGCATTTTGGTGTTTAGTTTCATTTCAGAATTTATTTTTTGAATTTTTTTTGAAAAAATAAAAAATGGTTTGACAAAAAATAATTCCCCCCTTTCCCCCCAAAAAAGATAAAATTATATAAAAGTGATGAGTGTTTTACACTAAATTAGTTTTTAATTTTTTTGAAAACTACACAATTTTTGGTTGAATTGTCAAAATCAATCGTACAATCACAATGGTAAGGGCTATAGATGGTGGGCATCACAACAAATAAGGAGCAATAAGGATGGGAAAAGAGGGCTTAGAGAGGTTTCCAATAGGAAATGAGGGGTGAAGAGTCATAGGTAGTGGGAGTGGATTTGGTGTATGACAACATCTGGACATGATGGGGGAGTAGTTGGGGTAGTCAAGAAGGAGGCTAGTGGCAACAGGTGGCGGCGATTGATGGCAATTTATGATCAAGAAATTTATTTTTTGAATAAGAAAAATAAAGTTATTTTAATAAGGACGCTTGGGTGAAAAGTCCAAATCTGAATTTCTTTTATCCAAAGGTCCAGGCATGAAACTATTTAGCTCATAAGGACGTGATTTTACAAAATGACCAAACTATCCATTTTTCATTCTACTTTGCATTATCTTTCCACGCATTATCTGTTGAAATCAAACACACTTTCTCTTTCTATTTTTCTCAATCTAGCTTGAACAGATCAAACCAAACCTACTCTCTCTCTATCTCTCTCTCTCTCTCTAACGTCAGCTGCTGTTATTCTTCATGCTCTCAAGTTTGTTGAGGATCGAGTATCTCACATCCCTCTATCATTTCATTTCCGCTTCCCTCTTTCTGCACTAGCACCTATACCGCTGTTGCCGCCCACTACCACATCACCATCATCGTAGATCTCTTTATCCGCTAAGTCGTATCAGAGGGTGACAATCACTTCTAACAATATCTTTCTTCTTAACTGTTTAAACCACATTAGATCATATCAATACCAATCTCTCTCTCTCTCTAGCACATGCTCTCCATTTGAAAAATGACATCCATTCAGACCTACATAGTCTGCTGGTGTTTCCGGCGACGATTCAACCTCACGGTTGTCAAAGCTTCGACAGACCTCAAGGCATTGTTCGATCGGTACTCGGAGAATGAAGTCATGGACATTAATCACCTCCATAGGTTCTTGATTGAGTTCCCAAAGGAAGACAACATCACTGTCAACAATGCTCAGGCCATCATCGACGGCCCCCACCATTTGAAACACCTCAATAATGTTCTTGTGAGGTTGAAATGAAGAAAAACCTCAATAATGTTCTTGTGAGGTTGAAATGAAGAAAATGATAATGATGCAGTGGAAGAGGAAGAAGAGAAATTGAGGTTACCTCTAGTACTAGTACTTGTACTCATCATGATTCTAGTCTTCCTCATAAAACCCTTGACTTCTACATTTTGTCATGAAATTCATGATCTACTCTTGCTTGTTACCTTTAAATTGCAACTTTTCTCGATGGATCTGCTAATTCTGACCTCAGATCTACCCCCCCTTTCATCTCCATCTCTCTGTGAATCTCTCTATATACAAATTTGTGTTCTCCATTAGTTTTTATTTTATTTTTTAGTTGTTTTGTTATTGTTTTGATGGTAAGATCTAGTTGGAATGACCTTTGCTTGAGCAAGTTCAACAATCAGTGTTGATCAAAATTGAATAGTAGTAATTGTGTTAGATTTGAAGCGCCTCAACACAGATCTATTCGTATTGGATTTAAATAGAAAAAAAAATGAACAAATAGTAAAATTTTGTTTGTTTTTTAGGAGAACAAAGGCCATTACAATTCAAGTAGAGTTTGTGTTTTTTAAATCTCAATCTGTTGAATAATTGTTTCAGCAGATAGCGGATGATTTGTTGTTGATTTGATAATGATTGTAATAGATAAACAAAAAAGTTAGTATGACACAAATTTTCAACATATAATATTTCAATAGATAAGAACAAAGAGAAACCTATAGAATTTGAACAGATAAAGAAAGAAACCCACAAAATTTGAACATATAAGGAAAAAATTGAACAGATAAGAAAAAAAATTGAACATATAGATATAATTTAACAGATAGTTAAAAAATTTGAACAAATAGATATAAATTCAAATAGATAGACAATAAAAAGTCAACACATAAATTAAGAGGGTAAAATTGAAAACAAAATGTCATTCAAAACAAATCAAAGGACTTCTTACCAAACTATTTCACAAATAGAAAATTTCACACCAACAAAAAAATTCATAGGATCTAATGCCTTATTCCCTCTTTACATTAAATTTATCACCAATTTTCTCTTTTAATAATTTTATTTTAAGATAAAAATGTAGTAAAAAATTAATTAAATGTATGTAGGATGGAAATAAGCTCCCCTCACTTCACAAGAAGTGGATTTCAACGGGATTTCAGAAGCTGCTTTGGGCTGCTTCTTTACCAAACATAATTTTAAAAGGACTTCTCAAGGACTTTGAAAAGCCCTGATATTGGTAACCCAAGCTCATTATTTTTCTGACGTGTCGGGCCAGGCCATCCCAGAGCCTTGTCCAATGAGCTAACGAGTCAAGCTGTAGGCTAAGCCCAATAGGCCAAGGTTCAATCTTACCACCGCAACCTCTATGGTGCCACCACTACAACCACTACAGCAGCCGCCACAACCACTACCACCACGGCTATTGCAACCATCATTCCAATATAGCAGCCACAGCTACCATGTTTGCCACACCACAACACAACCACGACCACCTCCACTATTACCACCGCATCACTGCCAACCCACCACCATAATTCAAAGAGTGGGAATGTAAAATTAAGAAATTAATAAATTTGAACTTTTTGTACATATCAAACAGCTTGATAAAATTCAACTCCTAAATTTTAGTACATACCAAGCAGTATTAGAAACTAAAAAATCATGTTAGATTAGAAACTAAAACTACCATACACAATTTATCATCTCTCTTTCTGTGGGTAGTGGTTTCTCTCTCTCTCCCTCGTTAAGATAGCTGTTTACTCATCAGACCAATGGTGGCTGTGTGTTTAGATTTCAAAGGAGGCAACCTAGATAATAGCCAAGCTGGGCAGTTATTTAGCCATAGTGCTTCACCTGTATCTTTGTGTTTAAAATCAGGAGCCCTTTCTTTGATCTACATGAATTTTTGAACCATGTACAAAATAATAAGAAATATATTAAAGAAGAAGAAGAAGAAGAAAGAATCACACTTGTATTTAAAAAGGAATACAACTGCCTGAGACGAGTGTTACCTTATCTGTTCTGTTGTCCCACCATTTATCAGGATTTTCCACCAAGTTCTTCCATGAATCATCCCCTAGATCCAGGCAAAGCAACAAAATATATTTTAATGGAAGTTAAAATGACTACAAATTTATTGTATAGTCCAAAAGATGAAATTAGTGGGGTGAGCAACCACAAAGCAGCAAAATGTACTCATGATATAAAAAGACTTCAAATATTAGAAGATAATTTCCTTATTTTGCTAATAAATCTTTATAGTCAAAAGGGAAAAAAAGAGCATATGAAAAGGTAAATTATCATAAGGAGTAAAACCTAAGCTACCCTCCTTAATTATTTGTATCGTACAGTGTTATAAGAACCGAGCGGCGACAGGGTCAAACCATAGAACCAGACCAGACTGGTCGGTCAAGCCAGAGAACTGGCAGGGGTTCCAGTTCAATTAACATGTTAAACCGACCATCATGTCATACTTAGAAAATAAAGCTAGAGGAAGCCAGGGTGACGATCCAAACTCTCAACACTTTAAATGACCATTGTTTCCATTATATTCATAATATAACCTCCTCTTCTTCTTCATTGATTTGGTTGCATTACGAATCTTCATGTTAGAGTGCTTCGTTTGGTTTATATTATGATCACTTCATCATTTTAATTTGGTCATAGTACAATCTTTTATGTGATCTCTTCATAACTTTTGATTTGGTCACATTATGACTACTTCATTTACTATTATGATGGTTCATGTTTTGTTAGTTATTGTTCTAAAGTTCATAGTTCCCTTTGCTCTGTCACATCATTTAGATTTCAAAGTTGGGTTGACGCCATACCTCATTGGTTTCCAAGCTTGGTGTTCTACATAAATGTTTAACCAGTCAATCAAGTTTGAATTTATGTTTTAGTTTAACATAGGTTTTTTGCTTGATTGATTTTGTTGTTCATGTTAGTTTTGCTTTCACATAGCTCAACATTCTTTTAGGTAAACTTTCACATTCCAAAATTATTATGCTAGTATTCTGTCTAGATTTGTTATTGCCTTGCTCTTTATTCTCTTTATTTTTATGTTATGGCTAACCTTTGTGGTTGCTAACTTACCCTAATGCTTGGAGTGGAGCAATGAAGATGAAATAGGCTTTAAGCCAAATTGGACTAAAAAATATTCCATAGATGCATTGGAGTTGGAGAATTCAACAAGTCTCTTAAATAGGTTAAATAGACAATTTTCGAACCACTGTATCTTTGCTTGTACTTTATTCAAAACCCTTGTATTAATTACATTAATTTTGTTTGGTATGGTGGTTGAGGCTTTGTCTTTTAGGTAAACACAAAAGAGACAGAGTTGAGGTGCCTCATAGATGACAGCCTCATTTATTTCTTCTTATCTTGGTTATCTATTTGATTCTTATGATAGATTTTACTATTTGTTTGCATGTATGATTTGGTGATGTTATTAGGATACGCCACAAGGCATGTCCCATATGGGACACTAATGGGACCCCGCCATGTTGGTGTCCCGTATGTGTCCGACAAGATTATGAAAATTATTTTCAAGTGTCGGTACTTCACAGATTCCTCAAACCACATTTAGACACTTTCGACACCAAGCTAGGAAACTTAAAAAAAGTTTTAGCCAAGCACAACTTAAAGTCACACCATGGATGTGTTGTTTGGCATCTAATCCTATTCATCATTTATTCTCACTTGCGTTTATTCTATATTTGTCATCCATACATTGACTTCATGGACTTAATTTATAAACCCAATTGGGCAATGAAGAGAGGCAGAGGGGGTGCTTAACCCCTTCTCACCTTATTCCTTATCCTCCAAGACAAGTTCTATGGCAACAAAGGGACTAGGCCTTATCCATGTAGATGTAGTCATTGAGGATATGGGTTAGACCCTAACATGCAGTTGTGACTCTTTGGTTTGGACTTCCAATTTGTGGTCTAATAACCTGTAGGGGTAATCAGATTGTTGTTGTAACTAGGGATGGAAAAATACCCGATCCGCCCCGTGCTGGACTCTTTCCGACCCTAATGGGATGGGTTCAAGGGTGGTTGAATAGGGTAGGGTCAGATTTGAGAAAACTTTTGAAAAACCTGATTGGGTTCGGGTTGGGGCCGGGGGAGTGTATTTTTTTACTTGAACCCTATCCAACCCACAAATATAGTAATAAATAAATAATAATATTACATATATATGTAATATGTATATAATGTGGGTGTTTGGGAAGTGGATTTTTTTGTAGGTTTTTTAGTTGTAGGATATTATTGGAGAAATTTTTTTTTGTGTTTGGGAAGATAGTTGGGTTTTTTTGTGGTTAGATGTGATATTTGTGAGAGAAAAAGTGAAATGATTATGGGGTTTGATGTGATATTTTGTTTGGATTTGTTTTTTTTTTTTGGTTTTGTAACCAATTTGTCTTTTAGTGGAAAAAAACAAGAAAAAATCAAAAAAATTTCTTCCTAAACAGCGCCAATATATTGTTGAATTTTTATAGAATATATGTATAATATCTATAAAATGTATTATTGAGTTTCTGTATGTTATATATATCATATAATTTTAATATATGTACAATATATAATAAACCAAACCAAATCAAGTCTCAAGTCCTATCAAATGGGGTCGGCTGAATGAATCTTTCTTCTTCACTCGACTCACATCCCACACATCACCCAATACTTTGGCATGCTCACTACTAGACCTATTACTGTATAATATCCTTTAACAAAACAAAACCCAATACACTGATGATATCCTTTACCAGAACAATACCGAACAAATAATGCTAATCCACAAATAAAAAGTGACCATGACTATACCAACCTTTAGACCCCTTTGCTTGTTTCACATTCAAAAGTGGAACATCAAACTCTAATCCATCAAGTCCTGACAATACCCATTTGGGAGCTGTGTTAAGCCAGAGAGGAACACCACTATCCTTGTGTTTAAAATCTGGATGCTTTGGTTTCAGCTGCAAAGAGAATAAGAAAAAGCCCAAACTTCAGCAACAGATTCACTGAGACATAAAAGAACTATCAACCAGAGAAATACTCACCAAATTGTTGAGCTTATTCTTACGGTGATCCTTCCAGTTTTTTGGATTTCTTACAAGGTCCCTCCAAGAATTTGATACAGGATCTCCATCATCTTTTATGTCACTAACTGGAAAAATTATATAGGAAAAAAAAAAAAAAGAAGGCAGAGAAAGTAACAATTTAGTCTGAACATTGTCAAGGGCATTGGCAATATAAGTAGTTGAACTGTAACCAAGTGTTGTGGTGCAGGTTCAAGCCATGTGTCTACAAAAATTGTGGTTGAGGCTGACTACCTACTACCTCTCTTAGATCCTACTGTAAGAGGGAGCTGGTTATGACCATTTTTTTAAACATTAAATAGTACACCATAACATCAAGAAAAAACTAAATAAGCTAACGCATGCACTAACCACTTTTATGGCTTTTGGGGGCAATTTTAGGATCAAATGTCAAACAATCTAATTTCTTTTGAATCCACTCTGGAGTAGACTCATTAATCCAGAGTAACTGGCCATTATCCTTGTTTTCAAAGGCCGCAGCCATTGAATTGCCCTGGGAAAACACGTAAAAAAAAAATGATCGATAAATCAACAACTTAAGTACGAACAATTGTATTGTGTAAAAGAAATTATTCAGATGAGATAATTAAGAACTTTGAACCTTTTTCAACCTGATGTCCCACCACTCATGGGGCTTAGCAAAAAGATCCTTCCATAACTGGTTGACAGACACTTCATCCTTCATGCTTGCTAGAGTTAAAAGCAGGAAATGTCAATGGAAATTAAGGAATGACAGGCTTTATTAGGAACCTCAAAGGTTTTAGGAACCAAAAAGAAAAATAAATGACAATATGCATTATAACGATAGATCTGATTTTCACAAATCTGGTATTGATGATAAAGGGTAGATAATACAGACATTCCAATATCAATGTAAGAGATGGAACTGTAAGAAAATCATGACATAAAATTTCACTACCTCAACAAATAAACAGAATATTCTAGGAGATTGGTAAATGGATGGGCCTTAAAGGCTGCATCCACAACCCTCTCTCTCACACAGGGTGTATTACAGCCAAAAAGGCTGGGTTCAGCAATCTTCATAAATTTTTTATTTTTTGGGATAAGGGCCATCTCCATAATTTATGAAAGTAACCAATACAGTCATACTGCTAAAACAGTCCAATAGTTAATTTATCCAGTTCATATTAACATAACTACATACATCTCTCTTATCCCTAATCAGAGAACAACCTAATTCATAAATGTGAAAAGGAAGATATTAAGCATAGTATAATAAAGAAACATGTACATTGTACCCTAAACTGTATGCATAAAATAAATAAATAACTTTTGCCTGTTTAGGTTTTCATTTTCACTTTGAAATCTTTATAAACACTTCCAACCTCCTTCATGATGAGATTGACATTATAAAAATTTAAACACAGAGAGAGAAAGAGAGAGAGAGAGAGAGACAGAGAGAGAGAGAGAGAGAGAGAGAGAGAGAGAGAGAGAAGGCAAACCAACTACATAGGATAAATTAAGTATTATAAAAGAAAATAGACTCAGTACCCATCTGTGGATATATTATATACACACATATGGTGACTGGAAAAAACATAATTTTCCAGCTAAGTAGGAACCCCGACATTAGACAATGACGCATGAAGCAATATATCAGTTTGGGAACCTCAAACAAGCATTTACCAGTGCCATTATTATCCAACTTCTCAAGTTTGTGTGGTGCAAAGGCTATCTTCTTCTGAGAAGACCACTGCACAAAGTTTATGCTACGCACCATAACCTACATGATCACATCTCTGGATGTCAAATTATGCAAGCAACAGTAACACATATGTCTCAATGTGTACAAAGAGAAAGGAAAACAGATCAGGAAATTCCCACTACTATATAACACAGTACTCAACCCTTGAGCTCCAATGCAACCAACAAAGTGAAAAACAATTAACTTCTTTTCTGCTTGCATATTCTCTATCATTTTCAAGCTTATCTTAAATAAAGGAACAAATTCATCTGATGCAAATTACTTCAAAGGTATTCCAATCATCGAGCAGTCCACTCACATCAAATTTCACACATCACATTTGATCAGTAAATGTGTGGGGCTTCAAGGTCAACGAGAATAAAAGTAGAAGATTTTGCTTCAAGACTTTAGAAAAGGCTTCTCCTTCTAAAGTTCCAAATTACGGCAATGACAAAGATATTTTTCTTCATGGGAAGATACTTAGATGCAGGACAGCTTTAGGAAACTTGGGCTAAAGCTGCCTACAATAGATTTTGTGGTGGGTTTTGGTTATGAAAAGTTTCTAGGGTTAGGGTTTTATGAGGGAGAAGAAGGCTTCTAGGGTTTCTAGATGTAAAAGGCTAGCATGGACTTTTGAAATAAAGTTGCAGGTTGCAGAATTTTCTAAACAACAGCTATTTTATAGTGTTGGCCAAAGGGTAGGGGAAAAGGTTAGGGATTATTTCAACTTCATTGGCTAGGGTTTAGGAGCTAAAGAGGGTACTTTTTTAGGGCTGTGAATAGTGACCTGAGAATAATACTTGGGTTATTTGTGCGAAAAGAAAGAAAGAGAGAATTAGATGAAGAGGAAAGAAACCAAGAGTTTACCCTCGCAAGAATAGTACTTTTTAACTGCACTTAGGCACTGCCCTTGCTTAATTTTTGGAATGCCTGAAGGAAAGCGTATCACTTCTCTTACAGGCAATACCCTAGCCCTTAGTTACATATTCATTTAGGAATATATAGTGCAACATAAGTGCGCTAGAAGGTGGTTATTCATTCTCTAGCTGGGCTCAAAGTCACAACCTTTAATCTTGTTCCAAAGTGAGTTCCCAAAAAGATTGCCATATTATGCAGAATGTTTAACACTCATATTTTCAGCAGATATGTTTCAATCCTACTTTAGTGGTGCTCAAAAGGGATAGGGGGAGAAAAGAAAAAGAAATGTACGTTTGAAAAAATTTCATAAGAAAATCAACATCAGTTTTCAAGTCCACAATTTAATAATACCATCAACGTGATAATAAAAGCTACCATATTCTCGGTATTTAGTGGCCGTTTGAGGTTTGGCTCAAAAAGCCACAAAGCTGTTTGTCATCAGCTAAAAAAATCAAATGTCACATCAACTTTTTTACTCACAAAAAAGCAATTTTTTAACTTCTTTCTAACACCTTTAACTCTTTTAACTTAAAAAAGCCAAGAAGCCACTAAAAGAGCCAACCCCAAACCCACCCTTTATCTCAAGAGTGGCTATCGAATTCATATTGACTTGAAAATGAATGGAAAATGCTTAAATGTTCCTCTTCATTACCTGGACATTTGCTTGGCCTTGACTCATAGTGAATGGAGGTGGGTCTGCACTTAGCTGTCCATCTATATAAACAAAATCTTTTTCTTTTAGATGGCAGGCCGCAATATGTGCTAGATCACCTTCAAAAATAATTGGAATCCTGATTCATGAAAAACAATAAGTCGTCAGAAAATCTGCTCAAGTTAGAAAAATATGATAAATAACAGAGAAAAGTTAGCAGAAAAAGACAGAACAACAACTCATCAAAAAACAACAAAGCCACAAAGATGGTCCACTCACACAATGACATTAACACTCTATTTGGATGCAGTGACTTGATGAGAAATGATAAGAAATAATGAGAAAGGGAACTCTTTTCATGTTTGGTTTATAACTAAAGTGAGGGGCCACGAGAAATGGGGATAGAGAACCATCATATTTAGTGCAACTCCAAGACAAGAGGCAAAATAAGCATTCTAGGCATTTTTGCTAGTGAAGCTCCATTTTGTGTCTTCAACAAGCTCTCTCTCTATCACAAGAGGCATTTTGCCTATTTTTAGTTTCACTCTCCACATGTAGCTAGTGTCTAATGCTAAGCAAATGTGTATTCCCACCATTATGTTGCTTGCTCTTCTCTACTCCTTTGCTCTAGCCATCAATCTCACAACACAAGTCTTGTTTTATTTTATTTTTAGTACAGGACTTAAATTTGATAAATGGAGATTGCTAGTCTTATGCAATAGAGAAATTTAGAAATGTCCCCTCAAACTTTGTACAAAGTAATTTATTTATTTATTAAAAGATATTACTGTTTTGCAAATATCACATCGACAACCACATCACAAATAAGAACTTATGTGTCATGCCATGAAAAAAACATTATTTTTTATGTTGCATATATATCATTTTTTTATGTACAACTAGGCAAAATGCATAGTAGTATTGGAGTTGCTTAGCTCATTTCATTTTTCACCAAAAGTGGTGAGATTTGCTGGTAAACAAGTTGATTAGTTATAAAATATTTATATTACCAAGATTGACCCTTAAATTACAAAAGGAATAAAAAAAATCTCAGTCATATCATGTCCCTCTTTCATATGTTTTGCTTTATTTCCCATCCAACTATGATAGTGAAAAAATACAGTCATTTCTTTTCTTTTTCTCACCTTACTATCCAAACAGAGTGTAAGTACCCAAATTCTCTACATGGTTTGCAACAAATCAAATATTTAGAAAAAGGGATTGCTTCTATCCTACAACTAATCAAAACAAAAGACAGCCCTTAGACAACATTTCCATAACCAACAATCTCTGAAAAACTAAAAGTCCAGAAAACCTAAAACTGTATATAAATCAACAAGTTCCTACAACTACAAGAAGGGTTTGGCTTCTCACGCATTCACATCTCAACATGAGAGAACTTGAGGGGTCGTGTAGCCCACCATGGTTCCGTTTCAATGATTTGAACGTTCATTTTGTAGAGCCCTCAATGTGTGTTATCCATGAAAAAAAATTATTTCGATCCAATAATCATTACCTTTTTATTTTATTGCAATTATCTCTAATAAAAATGGATGATAAATACATTTTTAAAAATAGACCATCTATTTTTAGAGACAACCACCATAAAAGGAAAAGGTTATAATTATCATATCAACATAATTTTTTCATAGATAATATACATTGAGAACCTATAAAATGGATTTAGATCATCGAAACAGGACTCATGGTTTGCTGTGAACATGAGAGAAACTCAATCCTTACATGAACATAAGAACAGCAATTTATATAGTTATTTGAGTCATAACACATTGCAGAAAATGCCACAACTAGCAAATAATCAAAACAAGAAATGGGTATTAACGATTGCTATGAATTTTATCGATTAGTACCAAAAAGGTGGAGAATCCGAAGAGTCACCGTCCCGTTGGGAGATAATAGTACCAGCCCAGTACTTTCCATCTGGTGAAGCTTCGAACTGAACAGGAATCTGAACATGGCCGATCAAATTAACCGAATTAGCAACCTTTGCTTGCCATGGAATCTCACTCGGCCTTGCCCAATCAGTGATCTTCGATACTTGTTCTTCCTGATTTAGCCCTTTTTCTATCTCGATATTGGGCACTTGTGTCGATGATAATGGCGATGAATGTTGTTGTTGTTGTTGTTGTTGCTGGGGTTTAGGGTTTCTCTTAAACCTGCTAGGGTTAGGAGTAATAGTACTAGTTCTTCTTGTAGTTGTTGAGTAGAGAGAAGAGTGGTTTTGCAGAAGAGGTATGAGGTGTTGTGATTGTAGTAGTTGTTGTTGTTGTGGAGGAGGAGGAGGAAGGAAGAGGAGACATTTTCTTGTTGATGAACGCAGCTTTCCTGCAATTGCACGAGTTAACGAATTCATGGCCCTCTCTCTCTCTCTCTCTCGGGGCAGAGTTACGGAAATTGAAATCTGTGCTTCAGAAGAATCATATGAATAGCAACTGGCTGTTTTGTTCAAAAAACTAAAAATAAATAAAGGGTAAATTACACCAACACCCTGAAGTTCTGTTTAATACATATTCTCTCATATTTAAAAGAGATTTTTATTAATAAATCCCATTTAGAAGCATTTTAACTTAAGAAGTTCATGAGGAATTTTTTAACCCATTTAGTTTCATGTATGTATAATTTTATTTTATAAAGTCCTTTTTCTTGATTTACACTATTTTCTTAGACACTTATGCCCTTATATTTAATTTTGATACCCTTATAAATATTTTTTGAACGGTTAGAAATTTTATAATGTGAACATTCATATTTTAAAATTCACATTAGTAGAAATGTAAAATTGGTCCGTGAGCGACCCGAAACCCGCCCGCGAGCCAGGTAGGCCCGGCCCGTTGACAATGTGAATATTCATATTGACATGTTAACGTTCACATTAATAGAAGTGTAAAATTGGCCAACGTCCCGTGGCGACGTGAAACCCGTCGGCGGTCCATAGGCAGCCGGGGGCGGGCCCGATCCGGCCTATTGACAATGTGAATATTCACATTGACATGTTAACTTTCATATTGATAAGAGTATAAAATTGGTCTGCGGTCCATGGGTGGCCAAAAGCCCCTCCGGCGGCCCGGGGTGGGCCCGGGCCGACTCGTTGACAATGTGAATATTCACATTGACATGTTAACATTCACATTGATAAGAGTGTAAATTAGCCCGCGTCCCGTGGTTGCCCGAAACCTGCCCACGGCCCGTGGGCGGCTCGGGCGCGGGCCCGGCCAGCCTATTAACAATGTGAATATTCATATTCACATGTTAACATTCACATTGATAAGAGTATAAAATTGGCCAGCAGCCTAGGGCGGGCCCGACCCAGCCCGTTAATAATGTGAATATTCACATTGACATGTTAACATTCACATTGATAAGAGTGTAAAATTGGCCCGCAGCCCGTGGGCGGCCCGAAGCCCGAATGCAGCCCGACCCGTGACATTGTGAATATTCACATTGACATGTTAACATTAACATTGATAGGAGTGTAAAATTTGTCCGCTGCCCAAAGCTTGCGCGCGGCCCGGGGTAGGCCCGGCCTGGCCCGTTGACAATGTGAATATTCATATTGACATGTTAACATGCACATTGATAGGAATGTGGAATTGGCCCGCGGCTCGTGGGCTGCCCAAAGCCCGTCTACGACCCGAGGCATGCTCGTTTGGGTCCGGGCTCGAGCCGGTGGGTCGAGCCTCAGGTCGGGCCAATGGGCCTGGGCCTAGCCTCAGGCTTGGATCGGGCTTGGGCGGGCCTGGCCATTTTTTTAATTGTTTTTAATTTTTTTTACCAAAATTTTATTATTTTTCACAAAAAAAGACACTAGACCTCAACTCGGGCCGGGCCTCCGACCGAGCCTTGAATGGGCCTTAACTGGGCCGATGGGCCGGGCCGGGCTTCAAAGTGATGGCCCAGGCCCTAGCCTAGGGTCTCGGACTAGGCTCGAGCCCAGGCCCAGACGAGCCTTTCCCGAGTCTCGGACGGGCTTTGGGCAGCTTACGTTCTTTTTTACTATTCCATTAAGTCCTATTTGAGGTAAGAAGACCAAAATACCATTTTTATCTACTTATATTCTATTTAATCCACATTATTTTCTTATGTTTCAATAAGTCTTATGGGAGACATAATTACCAAAATACCCATAATGTGAATGTTTACCTCGTCAATGTGAATGTTCAAATTATTAATGCGTAGAGGCCCGGGCCGGCCCATATCGAGCCTCGTAGGTGTCCGAAAAAATCCGGGCCGGCCCACGGGCCAAAAAATTAGGCCTAGGCCCTAGCCTTGACACAAGGGTATTTGGGCTTTGGACGGGCCAATTGATCGAGCCTCGGGTCGAGCCGGTGGGCCTGGGCCTAGCCTCGAGTTTACGTCGGGCTTGGCCTAGCCTCGAGTTTAGGTCGGGCTTGGGCGAGCCTAGCCATTTTTTTTAATTCTTTTTAATTTTTTCTACCAAAATTTTATTATTTTTCACAAAAAAAGACATTGCGCCTCGGGCGGGCTGGGCCTCGGACCGAGCCTTGAATGGGCCTTAAGCGGGCTGATGAGCCGAGCCAGGCTTCAAAGTGATGGCCTAGGCCCTAGCCTAGGGTCTCGGACATGCACGGCCCCAGACCCAAACGAGCCTGCCCCGGGCCGTGGGCGGGTTTCGGGCAGCCCACGGGCCGCGGGCCAATTCTACATTCCTATCAATGTGTATGTTAACATGTCAATGTGAATATTTACATTGTTAACGGGCTGGGCCGGGCCTACCCCAGGCCGCAGGCAAGCTTTGGGCAACGGGAAAATTTTACACTCCTATCAATGTTAATGTTAACATGTCAATGTGAATATTTACATTGTCACGGGTCGGGCCAAGCCCGCCTCGGGCTGCGGTCGGGCTTCGGACTGCCCACAGGCTGCGGGCCAATTTTACACTTTTATCAATGTGAATATTCACATTGACATGTCAATGTGAATATTCACATTGTCAACGGGCCGGGTCGGGCCTGCGCCGCCCATGGGCCGTGGGTGGGTTTCGGGCAGTCACGTGGCTTGGGCTAATTTTACACTCTTATCAATGTGAATGTTAACATGTCAATGTGAATATTCACATTGTCAACGGGCCAGGCCGGGCCCGCCCCGGGCCGCGGGCGGGCTTTTGGCCGTTCATGAGCCGTGGGCCAATTTTGTACTCTTATCAATGTGAATGTTAACATGTCAATGTGAATATTCACATTGTCAATGGGTCGGACCGGGCCCGCCTCGGGCCACCCATGAGCCACGGGCAGGTTTCGCGCCACCACGGGACGCGGGCCAATTTTACACTCATATTAATGTGAATATTAACATGTCAATGTTAACGGGCCGGCCCCGCCTCTACCCTACTCAAATTTTTCCGGGCACCCACGAGAATCGACATGGACCGGGCCCCTACACATTGACGATATGAACATTCACATTAATGGTGTGAACATTCACATTAGGGGTATTTTGGTAATTATGTCACCCATAGGACTTATTGAAACATAAGAAAATAATGTGAACTAAATGGAACATAAGTAGATGAAAAGGGCATTTTGGTCTTCTTATCTCAAATAGGACCTAATGGAATAGTTAAAAAGAATATGGATTGGATGGAATAAAGCTCTTAAAAAGTAGATTTATCAAAAAAGTTCCCTTTACAAAATTATATTTATTTTTTGTTAGATAAAAATGACATATGTGTCTTTTAACTTTTATACATATAAAATAATAAAATAATATTACTATTTTATTCATGTCATTTCAAGAGAAATAACAATCATCTTCTTTGATTAAACTCACACAAAAAATTGAATTTTTAAATTTTTTGTGTTTTTTTATTGAATTTTTTTAATATTTTAAGTAATTTTTTATTTTTTAGATACACATAATCTAGATATATTTAAGAAATATAATATTTTGTGATTTTTTTTAATTCACCAACTACAAAAGAATACAAAAATACAAAATTTAATAATATTGTAATAAATTTGAATAATGGTATTTGGTAATACTTTAATAAATGTGGGTGAATAGACGAAAAAGAAAAATGAATGTGGAAATAAAAATGAAAATTATATTCATATATAAAAATTTATACAAAAAATATCATAAAAATATTGTGATAGTGATGTTGTAAATATAAATCATGTTTATGAATTCTTTGTTTTAAAGTGAAAGGTCACTATTAAGCTTAGGGGTGTACACGGTCCGGATTTGTTCGGTTCTGAGAAAATCCAAGAACCGAACCAATCCTAACGGTTCTGTGATTTTGAGAACCAGACCAGACCGTTACACTTGTAAAACCGAACCAGAACCAAACCGAAAAAACGGTTCGGTTTCGGTTTTGGTTTACGGTTCCAAAAATTTCTATTTACAAGAATAATTTATTAATATTAGCAAAATAATTATTCAAACTAATTGCATTTAACTCATGATAAAAACTAATAACATTAAGGCATTACTTAATATTACATATATATACCATCCTAATATCATTAAAATTATAAAAAATCAATTAATAAAAATAAAACTTGATATTATATATATATATATATATATTTTAAAAATAAAAAAAAAATCGGTTCGGTTCGGTTCGAACCGCGATTTTTTCATAAAATCCATTAACCGAACCGTTTTTACGGTTCTCATATTTCTTAATCCGTAACCGAACCAATTCTTAATAGAACTGAACCAAACCGTATAATTCGGTCTGGTTCGGTCCGGATTACCGGTTTGAACGGATTTTTGAACAGCCCTAATTAAGCTATATCATTGGATTTAAAAAATTTATATAAAATTTATGTTTGTATATCATCACTCAATAAGAATATGTTCACCCAGAATTTAATGATGAGAAGTTGTAGAATATAGTCATAATAATAGGAAAAGGAAATGGTAGGAAAAAGTGGCATAATGTTCATTTAGAAAATTTTAAAGTATGACATCAGTAATCCAAAGGCAATTTGTAATAAGATTGCAAATTTTAGAAAGAGAAATGTAATTTTTCAAATGTGAAGGAAAATTTGTATTAAATATAAATCTCAGGGTTCAGAGTAATCTATCCAAAAATAAATTACAAATACCCTCGTGAACTTTTCTAAACTGTGTTTGGTTGAAAGATTTAGGAATGAAAGGAAAATGGAAAAAGTGTGTGAAATTAGAAAAAAAAAAAATGTAAGTATATTTTATTTATATTTTACTTATATTTTTCCTTTATATTTCTAAATTCATTCTCAAATCTCCCAATCAAATACATAAATTACATAAAA